CGACGTGGCGTTTCGTACGCTGCGTCGATCTTTTCTTCTTCTGTTTGTACTCCTGACTCGGGCGACATCTAGTCGTCCCGAGAAAAGCGGCGTGTCAGCGGGCGACATCTGTTCGACCCGTGACATTTAGATCCCTGTCATATAGCTGCGATATGTTATACGGAATGAGTTTCTTTATAGCGAGTTTTTATTTCAACGAAGCTATTTTACTGATCCCAAGGCAATCATGGCTTCGTTCTTTGATGTAACAAGATTTTTCTGTGCTGTATAGTGAATTGTTTTTATTTCACTTGACTTCTGAAAATTTTGGAAATACAGTATAGATTTTCCGAATGTCGGGCTCTCAATGAATCTATTGTAGATACATCTCAATGATTCATTCTGAAAAGAGTATGAGTATTCTTAATATGGAGCGTTTAAATTTGGGAAAAAATTTGCAGCTATGATATTTTCTGCATTATACGAGTTAGTCCAGTGGTGCCCAACTCAGAAGGGGCCAAGGGCCACATTGAAGTAGAAGAGCATTATGTGGGCCACAATGGAAAAAAGGAAGAAATGTTGTCCAGTACATTGTATAATTCATGAATTTCTGGGATGGTTTAACTTTAAACTATTCTAATTTATAAGCAATCAAGTTCTAGTCTATATAATCAAGTTCAATAAGTATTTCAAGATTTTCATTATCTGGCTATCTGACTTTTTTCATCTACAAACTTTTCTGCTTCATTTTTACTGATACAGTTCAACTTGTATCTTCATTACTTTATGACTGGATTTTCTTAATGGAATCATAAAATTCAATCTGCAAAACTTCAATCTTCAAAAAGATCCAACCAAAGTCCAAAAGGAATAAGTAACTGAAAATATTAATGAGTGAATTTAAACTTTGAGAATAATTTTGCTGAAACAAAAAAAAAGCCTATGTTTCAGAAAGTAAATAATGTGGAGAAAATATTGTGTCTACATAATGATTTTACAGAGTGCATAACCTTTCTTAAGAATTTTAAAAATTGTTTTTTATGCAAAGAAGCATTCATTCAACCTATTGAAACATGAAATGTTTGTGGCCTTTTTGGGATAGTCAAAACCAATTAAGATATGTGTCTGGCATCAAGTTCAGGTAATAGTGGGGGATTTTCATGAGGTTTTTGTCAATAACTAAACCAGTTAAATTCACACTTGACGCTAGGATAAATCCAGACTGGCATTTTGAAACAGGGCCAATTTGAGACAGAAATTTTTGGAGAGAGGGACAATTTGAGGCAGACACTTTTGGAGGCAGGGATAATTCAAGGCAGAGGCTTTTGAGGCAGAGAGAATATGAGTCATTCTGAGATGGAAGGATTTTCAAAAAGATGCTCTTGTGTTTCTCCCTGATATCTAATATTAAAGGTGTGAAAGTGAACAAAAATGGCACTGCTTGGTCAAGAAGTGACATGAATGAACATCCCATGAGCATAACCAGAAGTTTTTTTAGGCTCTTTAAAACACCAACTTTGTCTTTCCTCCCTTCCTCTATTGGCCCATTTTTATACATTGTAATACACCTAAAATCATACCAGAACACAATAAATCCATGACACACAACTAATAGAAGGAATGTGTGTAGCTAAGCATTTTAAATATTTCACCTCAAAAGCACAACATCTGCAAACTGCATCATGCTAAAGCCAAAAAAGCAAATTAAGTGCAATATAAAAAATATGGTGCACAGAGTTGAGGAGGGGGGGGGGATCTGAGGACAACCTGAAATTTTAGTGCAATTGAAAACTCCTTAAGATTCACTAAGAATCAGGAGAAAACCAGAAAATAAGTGTATAAGAGAGAAACATATTTTGTGCAGAGTTGCTTTGGGAGAGCATCAAATTGTCTTTGTATCTAAATGTCCATGTCTCCAAGGGTCCCTGTCACTAAATCACCCTGGCTCAAATTGGCCCTCTGTCTCAAATTGGCCCTGTCTCACATTGACCCTGACTCACATTGACCCTGACTCAAATTGTCCATCTCAATTGGCCAAGTGTTGAATTGTCTTTCTAAATTTGTCCATATCCCTTCACATTTGCATTTTTACATGATGGTCTACTTTTGTTCATGCTATTAAAAAATTAAGCTGCTGTATATCTTTCCCTCATCAAGATATGCAATCAAATTAAAAACATAGCAGAAAATGCTGGGGTAGGATTTGAATTACAAAATTGCAAAACACTGTCCTTTAATCTGAAGAACAGAATGACTGACATCACAGAGCAGTGCAAACTATTCTTTCTGGGTAGAAGGAATCATAACAGAATTTATGAAGCCCAAAGAAAATTCCTAATCATAATTGCAGGCTGAAGACATCTTGAAAAACTTTCAATTTTTCCTTTTTGATGGTCTTAATTTTTTAGTAGATTTTCCAAGCTGGCTCCGCGGGCCAGATGAAAAACCTCTGCGGGACAGATCTGGCCCGCGGGCCGTATCTTGGGCACCCCTGGTTTAGGGCATCCGGTAGAGTCATTAGATGTCCCAGCACCTGCATAAACTCCTGGCAAACAGAAGCCATGGCTTGCATGCGTTATACTGTTCCTTTGTAGACGGTCAGGATGAAATGCTGTAGGAATGATAACCAAGAATTGTTTAAAAATATAGATATATTCATTATTCTCATCACATTATACAAATGCTCACCTATTCGTCCACTGCACCATATGTTTCCTATGCGATACTCCACCATTTGTAGAGGATCAGCTATTGGAAAGGCAGTCAACCTCCTTTCACTGACTGGCTTCAGAGAATTCCATAGTACTTCTTTTCCTGTAACTGCACAGGTAACTACTGCTTCTGGCGAAGGCCATAGGACGTACTTGGCATCAGTACTTATCCAATTGATTGGGACACAGCCTGAAACCCGAAAATAAATATATTATTATAAATTTTAAATTCAGTATTGTCCATATGTTGTATAACTCACACTTTGTCCCAAAAACATGATTGCGGAATGCTGGATTAGCATTCCACGAATCCAACATTTTTTTATGTTCGGATGGATCCCGCAAGTAATCATACTTGCCTATTTCATCCCCACCATCAAGTATGGTGAGACAAACAAAACTAGGGATGCTCTCCTCAATCCCAACCTCCCTCATGCAGATCCCGTCAGATGACATGGTGAACCCGCAGTACTCCGTTTTCACAGGATTCCAATCCATGCATTGGAAAAACGTATCACTAAAGTCCTGAACAATAGATGGAAAGCAATTATTACAAGTTGAGAAGCAACCAATAAGAGTGACAATCATGAAGAAATAAGTAACATAGTTAAACTTAAAAGATGATAGGAACAGGAAATGGAAATGTACCCCAAAAGCTTTAAATATTTTATATGTATACACATATAAATAACTTACCTCTCTGGATAGGTCAAGTATGCAAGATTGATTCGAGGGACGATATAAATGACCAAATGAGTCATTTATTTCATCAACGTTGATGTAGTCCACCTTGCACCTCTTCCTCCAGTCTTTCTCGTTGACAGCCTCCTCATAGATTCTGCGTCGGTTTGGATCTGAGAGAGTACTAAGCCAAGGCAACAGGATTCTGTTTTCATCTCTGGGGTGTTTTGGACGTTGCGGAATTTCAGGCAGAGACATGTAGACCTGCTTTCAGTACTTACACTTTCAAGAAATCACAAACTGGAGTAAAAAAACCTATGTAAACACAATGGATAGCATAACCAGTTTTGAAACCATAAAAGACACCTTAAAAAGTAAATACACAACATGTTAAACCATCTAAGTATATTCCTTGACAAATAATGAACGAGAACTGACATGAAAGCGAAAATATATATAAATACATGAAAAAAATAAAACATTGGAATGTACTTGCATAATGAAGTAGTATGAATTAGAACATCATGTATATATATATATGGCCACATTGTTTAACCATGCTTACAAAAATAACACTGCAGAAACATCATTAGAGTCAACTTTTGGATGAGTGGGGAACATAACAGTTAATGCACTCAATGAGACATAAGGGTAATATGATGTCTCATTAGTAAAGTTTATCAAACATATTCACAATACTTTTGACAAAAGAAGCACGTGAAGTGATTGACAACTATGTACATTGCTTCACGTTGATATACATCGCTTCACATCGCTTTTAATCGCTTGACATCGATGTACATCGCTTGACATCGATGTACATCGCTTGACATTGATGTATACATCGCTTAACATCGATGTACATCGCTTAACATTGATGTATATACATCGCTTAACATCGATGTACATCGCTTGACATCTTCCCTTCCCATTTGTAATGTAATCATTTTAAAGTAGGGTTTGGGGGGGGCACGTATGTTTCAATCTAACTAAAATCCACTTTTGAACTTTATTTTCAAAAGAGGGTTCACAACTGAAGTTTAAATTGAGGTTGAAGGGAAAAAACTTTCCAACCACGGATGAAAAGTGCATAGTTTCTTCAACATCACTTAAATCACTTGCTTGATAACAACCAATCCTACTCAGCATTGGATATGGGGAAGNTTTTTTTTTTTTAAACCCCTAACAGAATATTTATGACATACCCGCGAATATTTTCTCCACCAGACTGCTGCTTGTCGATCGCTTTCGCTATTGCCATCCGTTCAAATGCTAGACCGTGGAGTTGATCGCATAAACCAACTCGAAGATCATCGACGACCGTCAGAAGAAACTTTTTCAATGGTCCGAAATCCAAGGTCAGGAATGGAAGGACAGTTACCATTGGGTCTGTTCCATCCAACACTTTCCATTGATCATGATACCTGGAAATAAGTTTATGTCGTGTGAAACGAACGAACGAATGAAAGCAAGGAACGAAGGGCAAACGCTGCAATCGCAAAAAGTCACGCCTGATGGTCCTTTCTTTATCGTTGTTCGTGCGGAACCAGACAAACGTCACTAGCAACATTGTCCAATAAAAATACAGTACAGTACATTATTTTATTCCGATTTAGAATATTGTTTAGCTCATTCGGTTGGTAAACTCCGGAAAAAAGTGATTAAGTTGCTGTTGAGTTTCAAAGCGTTATTGTGAGCGCTTTCATTTTTCACAGGCGTGTGAAACGAGGAAAAACACTTTTCCCGTCCACAATCATACCTGGAAACATCGCCTATCAAAGCTTGAATACTCGGCGAAGCCCTGAGATATTCCAGAACGAATTTCTTCCAGTCATGACAGGATAGAATGTGGGCAAAGGGCTCCGTCCACTTCCGCACAGCATCGTCCATCTCTTCTTCCATCAAAGATAAACCTGACGATTAAGAACGAAAAATTAGGTTACTTGAGAATGAAAGTATGTTGAACCAAACATGACCGTGTTTTCCACACATACACACGATACATTCTCCAACACCAAGTTTAATTTCATATCATTTTCTGTTCAATACTAAAAGAGAGCGTATCTTCAGGGTTGATTTTGATTTTAGTCATTCATCACTATCCAGTTGAATCTTTTCGTCTTCATGAAGAATTTATTGAACTACCTAAATATTCTACTCTAGCTGAATTTCGATGAAGTAAGTATGTACTGCAGTTTATTGTATTACGTGTCTTTCATTATCCTACTTTTTTTTATAAATAGAGCATCGACGGAGATTTTTCCGCGATAAAATCTTGAACACGCCTTCTTATTTTTTCATAGTTACAGTTGAACTTTTTCAGCTAACTGAACACACTGTACTTTACTTTTTAATTGTTTCTTAACAATTCTAAACTGGATCCAGTATTTGAAATCAATTTCACAGATCTGCTACAGTTAAAAGCGTAAATATGGTCTTTGGGGTTGAACATATTTACAGAGGTGCCCGAGAAAGTAGCTTGTAGGTTTTTAATTTTTGATAAACACGGCAAGACACACAGATGATGCTTATATGAAACGCAAGCTGGGGGATGCGAGAGAAACGCAGAATTTATTTCAAGAAACGAAAAAACTTACTCGTCACTATGTCTCCTTGGAGAATATAAAGATCCTGATCCGATTTCATCGCTTCGGAAAATGGAACAGTAGAATTCTCGACAGTGATATTCATGGACGCACTAATGCGCGGAATGAATGAAATTGCTCGAACGATGTACTGCAGAGTACCGCCAATCGCTTCCGCAAACAAGCTCGGGTCCGGAACAACTTCAACCTGCGATAAAGAAATGAGAAAATCATCAGATTATTCCATGCAATCGATTGAAATTACCGTCTCAAACTGATTTCTAAAAACGTACCTTCATTCATTTCAATTAACCGATATCACCTTATCGGTTCGAAGGAAAACATTATTTCAGCTATCTTTATTTCAGGGAAGGTTATCAACGACGTTATTTTCAATGATTCGATCTAATCCGTTTTAGGTGCGCGTGGTACTCGAGTAAATAATCCAGTTAAAAGCGCTTATATTATACTGCATTTAAGTGTAACCTCGATGTTCCAAACTTCTCTGAGTCGGATACCTCACCATATCCATTTATTTTAAGCCCATGTCTGAATCACATCATGACATCCCT